GGGGTCAGAGCACAGGGTCAGCCGTTTATACGGCGCCCCTGGAGCAGCTGGGGTTAAGGGCCTTGCTCAAGGGCCTTGACAGGATCCCAGCCTGCCCTGCAAGCTGTACAACAGGGCTCAGCCACAGCTGTTTCTGCTTGTTTTCATTGTGACATGTCATTGATTTATCTTCCCAATTAGACGACACTCGAGTTGTGTGTTTATAGATAGATTTTTTTCTCAAAACATATCCAAAAACAGTGGTCCATATCTCCAGTCCTCTAGAAAGTGTCCTCACTAGTGGCAGCATCAATTGGATCTCACCGATCCTCACAGATCCTCTGTGCTGTTGCCGGATGGGCTGGGAGAAGGGCACTCAGCCCATCCGGGTACTTGGCCCACAGATCTCTTCCAGCTGTGCCTGGACAGACGCTGGGGGTACCAGCTCCAAGCAATGTGCCTGGCTAGCTCGTTCCACACTCCCACTTACCCCTCTGGGGGAAGAAATGCCCCCCTCTTCTCGAAATCAAACGCACATCCAGAGAGTTGCACCCTCTGGTTTGTGTTGCACTGATCCTGCTGAAGAAAGGATTTTGAACACGTCATCTCAAGGCTAAAAAGGTTCAGCAGTGCAGGACACTCCCTTCCACCCAAGGGTCGTCTCTGGACGGATCTCCAAGCAGCAATATTAGTCCTCTAACATGTCGACCATAATTGCACACAATATTACACAGTAAATGAAGGCTTACTAATGTCTTATAGCTCTAACATAACATCCCTTGATTTAATTCTGCATTTGTAACTCTATATCCCATCATTGTTTTTCATTGCTTCCCTACATTGTCTAGAAAATGTAAAAGCTGTGTCACCTTAATCTTTTTCATACATGGCCTCTTCTAGCTGGGAGTTTCCCGAGCGAGAGGCTTCGGCTGTACGACACACTTCTGTTGATCCGCTATCATACTGATGGTTATGCAGTGTAAGAACTACAATTCAAACGGATAACCCAGGAGATCTGGTGCTGATGTGAGCAAATCTTATCAACCTCCGCTGCCTGAAGTTAACCTTGAAACTAATTTAACATTTTTAATAAAACATTTTACATGTAGAAAGCCACGGTCTTAGAAACTGAGAATCACAGTTTTGATTGATCGAGCGAGTTCATTGTTTTCCCACTTACACAAACGTTTTTAAAACTGTGAATTTCCGTGGAAAGTTTAACATCATTTGCATTGCAGGAACAAGACCACTTCCTACTAAACAATATCGGGAACAATAGTCTTTTGTCTCCAGTTGCTTGCCTGGGGTTCCTTCACTCAAACGCACCTGCTAACACGCCGTGATCACGCCTGCGCAGTCTGGGCCGCCACCACTGACAGGTAATGCGAAGAGGACACCGCTAGGGGGCAGAGTGCGACCATTCAGCGTGCCGACCGCTCTGCACTCCTCACCCGTGTTAACAAGGCAGGAAGGCAATGTCTGTTCAGCTGAGGAGTAATGCGCGAAACGGGTTGGGGGAATTGATTGTGTATTTTGCTAATTACATGCCGTTCTGCTGTATGCACCCCCCTCCCGTATTGAAATAATACAAAATAACTGTAAATCTCCTGATAAAAAAAAACACATATTTTCTCCCAGAGTTAAATAAAGTGGACAACATCCGATGCAGATCTCATCTTGAGAACTACTAAACCTTCTCGCATTCGAAAGTTTCCTCTGGCGCAAGCCTGCTCAATTATGTCCAGCACCAGTTTTCCGACACACCACGAATGTTGTTACCTTCTCCGTCAGGCGGCGCTCGATCACTACGCGTAGATGAGATAAAACGGTGGGCTTCGCGGTTCTGGAAAGTTTTTTTTGTTCATGTTTTGGGTTAAAGTTAAAAAAATGATACCGTAAATGTTACGGGGATGAATTATTAACCACCCAATTCGGGGAACAATGACTTCAAAACCGAGTGAGCCGCCTGTGTTCTCCAAACGCGTGTAGTTTTTTTTAGCTCTTATTGGACTTTGAAGAACTGCAGGGGAACCGGGTATCAGAAGGTCTGTTCCCGAAAGGCAGGGGTTGGTGTCGCACTAGGAAAGGACCAGCGGAGCCATCGCTGAGCCCCACCGACTCACCTGTACCTCAGTACCCGCACAGGTATGTAACCTGGGGATTCTCTGAGCCAAAACGAGCTCTTAACCGGTACCACGACTAAGGCACAGAACAGTGAAATAGAAGCGCATGTTAAGGATCTTAACTGTCAGAAAATTAGTATAAATATATTGTTCTGATTTCCCAGTGTCGTCAGGAAATGTAATCGTTTTATTTACCTCTTATCTGGGTGAGAACAAATGTACAGCTTGATAACTTAATTGACCATCGTGAATCTGCAAACCAATTTTCCTTCAAGGTACCGTTTTAAGAGCTTTATGCGAAAATAATCACGTAAAAAAATATTTTCCATTTTGCATATTTTGCGTGTTAATGACGTTTTTCTGGGAGCGTTCCGGGAGTTCTCACACGGGTTGCTGATGAGGCATTTCTGTTTTTATTAGATTAACAAAATTAAGAAAACGAGTAACATCAAGTAACAAAATTAAGAAAACAAGTCTTATCAAGTAACAAAACACAACCACACACGCACGCACATTGGACGGTTTTTTTTATTTCAAATCAAATACCCAAATAAAGATCCAGGTAGAAAACAAAAAGGTGCTCGTTAACGTTCGTGCAACGCAATACTGAAACGTACAAACCGCAGTGAACACGACACATGAACTCGGGGTCTTAGTCGGAAAGAAGGGCAGGTCACGCCGTAAGCCTAAATCCTGCTCCCGTGCATCGCAGGCGGCTTCAAAACACCAAGAAAGACGTTTCTATTTACAGCATTTGGAGTTCAATTATCCCCCCCAAGGAACTGTATAGATGCATGAAATGAACGCGCTTTTAAAATTCAAGCGCCGAGCACAGCACAAGCGTGGCGCATGCGGCCGTCTCACGGCGTGGCGGAGTGGAGACGAGCAGACACGACCTCTGAAGGGCAGGAAGTCTTCTCGTCGAGCCCCGCAGCGCGCCGAGACGGGAACGGGATCGTTTACAGGCGCAGACTGGCTCCGTCGTGCGGAGAAGCCGTCGGCTCAATCTCCCTCCCTCGGACCGTCCCGCCTGCGCCCTGTGCGAGGGTCCCGCAGCGACGTGCCCCTTCCTCCTGAAGGCGCTGGGGGGAGGGGGCAGGTGGGCTGGGGTTGGAGATGGGCTGGGTGGGGCGGGGTGAGGTTCGGAGGCAGGACCAGAGTCACTTCCTCGGCCCGTTCCCGTGACAACCCCGTGAGCTCCGCCCCCCCCCCCAGGCCGCTAGGACACGGCGCAGCTGTTGGTCTTGCTCATGGGCGGCCGGGGGCCGGCGCCCGCGGGGAGGGTCTCGCGGCGCCGCCACAGCGCGGGGCTCAGGCGGCTGGGCAGCCGGGCCTGCTGCAGCAGCTCCCTGAACACCTCCAGCACGTTCTCGTTCTCCTTGGCCGAGGCCTCCAGGAAGCGGCTGTTCCAGTCCAGCTCCACGGTGGACAGCACGTCGCCGCTGGACACCCGCCGCCCGTCCTCGCGGTCCGCCTTGTTGCCCACGACGACGATGGGCGCGGACTTGTCCTCCTTGACCTCCAGGATCTCGTCCCGCAGGCTCCTGACGGCCTCCAGGGACTCGGGGTCATCGATGGCGTACACCAGGGCGCAGGCGTCGCTGCTCTGGATGGAGAGCTTCCTCATGGCCGGGAAGGAGTAGCTGCCGCTGGTGTCCATGATCTCGATGGTGACCTTGGCTCCGCCGACCTCGTACTCCTTGCTGTGGAGCTCCTCCACCGTGCGCCGGTACTTGGTCTCGAAGGTGTCCTGCAGGAAGCGCCGGATCAGCGCGGTCTTGCCCACGCCGGCCGCCCCCAGGAACACCAGCCGCACCTGGGTCTTCTCCTTCTCGTCCAGAGACATCGCCCGGCCCGGGCTGGGCTGTGACCCTGGCACCCGCCGGTGCTTCTGTCTTCTCGATCGGAGCTCTCCGGAGCCCTGCAGACTCCTTGGCTAAACGCCAGCCCTCCTCAAGTTCTCAAATCTCTCGCCGAGCGCGAGTAGCCGTGCGATGCAGTAGGTAGTGGTCACAGCAGCCCTTCCCACTCTGGCTGTTGAATCTCGCAGCAGCAGCAGCAGCAACAGTCGTTGTGCGAGAGGAGCAGTTTGGTGCCTCTCTGCCTGCATGCCTCCTATTTATCTGTGTTTTTGCCAGCTGAGGTTCCCGGGCTCCAGCCAATCAGCACGCCTCGAGCTGAAGGAGTGTGTCCTCCTGCGACCAATGACACGGCTTCATGCAAATTAGTTCTGGAATAAAATAGAAAAGGGGAGGAGATGGGGAGGAGGAGGACAGTGGTCCAAACCGTCTGGAGTCTCGGAGCATCACCACCAGAATACATTGCAGCTGCAGCTAGCTGTGCAACTCTGTCTGGAGTAGAGGGAAAAGCAAGCAGCTTCTTTAGTTGTTGCACCACAGGCAAATCCGAAATGCAAAGAAATTGAGGCAGGATTAGATATCAGCCTGCACCACAGTGTGCCTTTCCACCTTCCTGTAGATAGTGTATTCCTGTAGATAATGACCACAGGACTGTATCATGAATGCTAGAAGCGACTGGTTCTATGGTTTGAAGAGAGAAAGCATGTTTCTTCCTCATTTGTTGAGATGTTTGTGCACAGAACCTTTCTGTGTTGGGAAGCAAATACAATCAGGTGAACTCTTATAAATGGTTGTCTTGCGGCTCATTGATAGAGCTGTGCCATCGAGTCTTTTGTAAAGGAGAACGTTACCAGTTTGAAACGGGTAACTGAATAGTTTAAGGGGAACTTGGCTTGACGGTTAACTGGTATGTTTTAAACATTTTATTAGACAATGGAAATGTTTGTCTGCATTTATGCATAGAAATGCTTTTTTCAGTGAAGATCACAAAATTGCCCCATTCTATTTAGCAATGTTTCTGTAAATCTCTTTAACGTGTGCACCGAGCTGTGAAATGTCACTTATGTTTCCACTCTGCTGTTCTGTTTAAGTGTGTATCTTTCATGATGGAGCTGCTGAGCCTCGGCCCTGCTGGGTGACCCCTGACCTCTGCTGCTGTTGTGCCCTACGGGCGTGGCCAGTGTGCACCAGGCTGGTGAAGACTGCAGAGCTCCTCAGGGGTTCTTAGGCCAGGAAGAGGTGATATTAATATTGAATACATGATAAAAACAAAATTGAAAGGTTACATTAGGTTCAGCAGTTTTGAAGTTAGCAAGCATATGTTATTGTTTTGCTTGTCTGCAGGGAAATCTCTCTCCCTCCCTTCTTCACACTGTCAGTCTCTGCAGTGTGAGAATTTAGACTTATTTGTGATGCTCTGCTTGCATCTGTGCTCCAGTGACCTTGTACACAAGAGGAATATTGTTGAATTGGCTGGTGTGTCACACAGTTCTGAGGTCAATTAACTCATAGACCTGCGCATATATGAAAAAGCTGATTGCATGTTGCTGAAGCTGATAGCCTGGCTTCTTTCAAGAAGCCCCTGGTTGACCTCTTTGGATCAATTAGATGCTTGCAGATGGCTTGACTCTCCTTCCCTGTTTTAAAACTCTTCTTGTGTTCTTAGGCTGCAAGTGTGAGCGAGTTATTTAGCATGCCTTGCTTGCATGAGTACTGGTGGTTAACTGGGACCTTATCCTGCTGTTACTGGAAAGGTCAGATGGAGTCAGCTTCAACTCCACAGCTTGGCAGCTCATTCCAGATGTCCCATTTGCCAGGTGCCTTTGTTTCTCTGTTGGATTACTCCTGTCAGCATGTTTACTACAGTCACCAAGCCCCTTTCTCACGTGTTTGTACTCACAGCCCGGCCCCGGAGGTCAGACGAGGTCTGTGCCCTGTGCCCTGAAGCAGTAAGTGGACGTGTTTTTCCGTGTGGCGGCTCTGCAGAGGGCTCTAAACGGTTGGTTCCAGAGTCCTGCGCGCGTGTCCCCGAGGGCCTGCGATGCTGTCACATCGAGTTAAGAGCGCTGGCAGAGGAGCGGACGGGGCTCCGGTGAAGCGTTCCTCCCGAGGACGTCCTGTGTGATCAGCGTCAGGCGGCGGCGGCGG